TTAGCTTTTTTTGATAAATTAAATTATTATCTATTTAATTATAATAAATATTAGCAGCTGTAGTAAATGAATTTGATTTAATTTAATTTTTTTTATTTTTTTTTTAAATTTTTTTTCTTTTTAGATTTCTTTATTAATAGTTAGTTAGCATCTACAGTAAGTGAGTTTTAATTTAATTAATTAAATTAATAGTTTAATTAATTATTTATTTATTTTTTAATTTTTTTCTAGCTTTTTTTAATAAATTTAATTATTATTTATAGCAAATATTGGCAGTTGTAATAAGTAGATTTAATTATATTTAATTTTTTTTAATTTTAATTTTTTTTTTATTTTTTTAATTTAATTTTATATAATTTATAATTTATTAGTTATAGAAGTTATTAAAGTTATAGATGAAACAGAACACAGTTATCATAATGATAATAAAAGTTTTAATTCTGAAGTTGAAATTAGTTTTTCACAAACTTCACCAAAATTAACTGTAATAAAAGTTACAAGTAGTGAAATTTGAAAATATTTTATAAAAAATAATAATTATAAAAAAAAAATAAAAAAGCTACTTGTAAATTTTATAATAAAGTTCAGGAGAAAATACTTTAAATTTAACAAAACATTTAAACAAATTTTATAATACACAAATGGAAAGAAGTAAAAAATTTTTTAAAGAATTAACTATTGAAGATATGTTTAATATATCAAAAATATATATTGTTTATATATTTTTATTATTTTTTTTTTTAATAATTTAAGTTTATTTATTATATTTTTATTTTAAAATTGTTTTTAATTAGTAGGTATATAGTAATAATGAAATAAAAAAAAACTTATAAAATGGATTGTTATTCATCAATATTCATTTATTATTGTTGAAAAAAATCTTATTTTATTGAATTAGTTCACTTACTTTATTCTGAAGCAAACATTCCTTTTGCAGATATTATTAAAAGAAATATTATAGATCTTTATGAATTAAATTTAAAAAATGTACAAATAATTTTTCAAAAACTTTTTGGAAAAATTTCTTTTACTTTTAATATTTGGATTTTTTCTTCAACAAAATCATTTTTATGTTTAATAGATCATTTTATTAATATAAATTAGAAGTTACAAAATACCATAATAGATTTTATAGAAATATTTGAATCACATAGTGAAGAAAATATTAAAGAAGCATTTGTATTATTATTAAAAAATTATTCTATTCAAAATAAGATAAAATTTATAATTTAAATTTATTTTATTTAAATAAATAATTTAAATTAAATTAATATTAATATTTTTTAATATTTTTTTATAAAGTTAATGAGTATTACTTTAAATAATACTAGAAATAATGATAGATTTATTTATTTATTAATTGAGTGGACAAATGAATAAGAAATAATTTTAAAAATGAAAATCATTTTAGATGTTTTGTACATATTTTTAATATAGCTTTATAAGTTGTATTAAAGTTTTTAACTATAGAATTAAATCAGATTTAATTTTTTTTAAAAATGTGATTTTAATAAAATTTTTTTAAATAAATTATTTTTTAATTTTTTTTTTATATAGTCTAGAAAAATTATTATAAAAATTTGTTCGTTTCCTTAACAATATGAAAATTAAGTAATATATGTAAAAATAATTAAATTAATAATTTAAAACTAATTTTAGATGTATTTACTAGATGAAATTCAACATACAATATAATTCAAAGAGCTTTAATTTTAAGAAATATAAATATTTTATTATATTTTTTTTATAATAATTTTATAATTAAATTTAATTTATAATTTTATAATTTAGGTTTTAGAACCAGTTATATTATCTGATTATAAACTTAAAAAGATATACTTACAAATGAAGATTAGAATAATTTAGAAGTTTTTTAAATTATTTAAAGAAGTAATAATTATAATGTCTAAATTTATACATTCTACAATTTCTACTATAATTTCTTTATATAATTTCTTATTAATCATATAAAAGATATTATTGATAATATAAATATAATACCTTTAATTAAATTAGCTGCTAAAATATATAGAAAAAAAATATTAGAATATTATAACAAAACAAATAATATATATTTATTTGTAACTATTTTAGATCTAAGATTAAAATTACAATATTTTAAAAGTAAAGAGTGGAGTGATAAATTAATAAAAACAATTTAAGAAAGGTTAGTTTTTTAATTATTTTTTTATAGAAATTATAATTATATTAATAATATCTATTTTTTTTTTAGTTTTTTATCTAATTATAATAAATTATAAATTATTTAATGAAAAACTTTTAATATATTATATAAAAATGAAATAGATCTATTATTTCAAGTATAATAATATAAAATAATGTAAATGAAGCTCAAACATATCTTACTTCACTTACATGTGGTGAAAAAATAAATCCACTTAAATAGTAAAAAATTAATAAAACAAAATTATCTTCTGTTATTATTTTCAAATTAAAATATATCTTAATAATTATTTAATGGTATATTTATTTATACAAATAAAAAAAATTAGGTCAATAAAAATGAAATGCTATGGTAAATTAAAAATATTTAGATTAATTGATCTTTATTAAATGATTTACATTTTTTTTTAATTTTGATTATTTTGTACACATATAGTTAATTTGTTAAAAATCAACTTGTTATAAAAATAAGTTATCCTAGTAAATTAATATTAAAGTACAATTATTAGATATTGCAATTAATAAGAGTTTTAAATTTAAGATATAGTTAATTTAATTTTTATATTTTATATTTATTTTACATATATATTAATAAAATTAATTCAAAAAATCAAAACACTATATAATTAATAAATTGTTAAGAAATTTCATAAAATATATTCTCAAATCATATTAAAAAGCTATCATATTCAAAATTAGCTGAATAGAAAAAATCATATGGTAATTTTTTAATCTAAATTTAATTAAAAATTTATTTAAGTATTGTAGAATACCTGTTATAAAGTATTTAAATTTAGTATAATATATTTAATTTTTAGTATACTTAGTATTTTAATTGCAATAGTTTTTTAAATAAAAAAAAAATTAACAATAGTAAATAATATATATATTATGCAGTAAAATATAATAAAATTTAAGAATTTGTAATATTAATTTTTATATAAAATTTCATTATTTTTAAATCAATTAAATTACTAGTATTTATAGTAATTTTTAAGTTAGTATTGTTAGAGTCAATTTCTTATAATAGTTTGTATATATTTTTAAATTATCTATTTTTTGATATTTTATATTGAAAAAACAAAATTAATAAAAAATTGTAAAAATATTTCTAATCTTCTTTAGTTATAAAAAATCCCTTATCTTCTTTATATTATAATTATTATTAATATTAATTATATTAGATTTTTTAAATAAAAATTTGTATTTATTTGTATTTCTTATTAATAAAATGATAAAATATTTAATATATTATATACTTTATTTTCTTTAATATTATGAATATTATCTACTAAATTATTAATCATTTCAATTTGTTTTATTTTTTAGGTAATTTTTAAGGATCTAAACTTTCTATATTTATATATCAAGTTATAAATTTTATTAAAAATCCAATTTTTGAAACTTTTGTACAAGTATTTTACATTTATTATAATTTGTAATCTTTCATTTAGTGCAATCAATATCACACATTTGCATATTTCATTTATAAAATTTTTCAACTAATTTTGATCAATATGAACTTTTTATACTAGCATTCTATATATAAGCTAATATTACAAATTAATTATTAATAAGAAATAATAATTTAATAAAATAAATAAGCATATTAAATTTACTTTATTACATTTTGAAAATATAAATTTGGCTCAACTAATAAGATAGATATTTTTCATAAACTTTAATTATTTCTGAATTAAAATAAGTTAAGTTTATTAATTTTTTCATGATTTTCAATTTATATCTATTGATTTGTTTTTAGATTAATATTATAATCTCTATCTTTATATTTTTTAAAGTCTTATATCATTAAATAAAATGTTTACTTTCACATAATACTGCATTTTAAAAAAACTCTTTTAAGCAATAGACAGCCCATTAACAACCATATCCTAAATCTGTAAAATATTTAATTTTTCCTGAATAAACCTGCCAGAATTGTTTAAAGTTTTTGTTATCATATCAATTGCAATTTTTCATGACAGAATGTTAGTTTAAAAGGCGATAAATTGCTGAAATAGCTGCTTTAATTGACATTGCTATCAAATATTGTGATAATTGAAATCCATTGCTTTTATATCAGATATACCCTCTAGTTTTCCTTCATAATTATTACAACACATATCCAATTATTGATAGAATATTCATATTCTTAACTTTTCCAATTTCGCAGAAGAAATTAACATTCCTTTCCAAATTATCATTTGAAACCTTATTTCAAAATCATAAAATTATAATTTTTAAATAATATTAAAAAATTTATTATTTTGTAATATTGTAACTTACTTAAACTTACAAAGATTTTTCGTAAATTCTGTTATTTTCGCGTGGAATGAATAATAAAGAAAAAATTATTTAAACAAGAAAGAAATGGTTTGAAAAATAAAAAGTTTATTAATTAAACTTTATGTAGAGCATGATCTGCATTAGCCGTACGATAATATGGTTGGTTAACGTCACGAAGTGACATGACACCATAAATTATTGAACTTCTTATTTAAAATAACTTTTAAATGCTAAACTTCTTTACTTCTTTAAGATCCATTATCTACCTTCATACATGATAAGTTGTAAGTAAACATTTTTTTTTTTAAAAAAAATAATATATTCATTGAAGGAATCTTTATTTCTCACATTAGGAGAGCATAAGAGATCAAGAACTACTCATTAACCCCCGAAAAGGACTCCAGAACAGATTCTTAATGAAAGATATAATGCAAATATGAAGTCATATTACTATGAGTGAATAATGAAACGGATTTATTTCCTCGAGATGCATCCATGTAATAATTTCTCATGTATTTTTCATTAGTAATATGCATCGTCGGCGACGGAATGGCTGGTATCATTTCATCTTGTACTCTCCATCATTAATCTTGTGTATCTTTTCATCAGGTCTATTCTCAGCTCTTCTCTTGAAAGAGGCCGGAATCAAACCAGATCGTGTTGGTGGACGTGTTCATACCTACCCATCCTGATGATTGTATGGGAACTTGGTGCAATGAGATTATCTTATATTGAAGGTCGTCCAGAACTTCTGGACGATCTAGAGGTTGGAACCGGGTCTGGTTTTTTTCAGATTCGAACACCGGGTTTAATAAAACCGGTTTATTGCGAAAATTCGAATTTAATGAAACCGGAAGTTCGTTGAATATATAACCCGTTAACTTATCTTATTATTTTGGATTTATACTATATACTAAATGATGCGAGTCATGTGCGATCAAAGGTTAAAAAAATTTTTAGATAATGAAATTAAAATTTTGGATTTGTACATTTTTTTTTTCGACGATATTCTTTCGTTATATTATATATTTGTTTTGTGCGATTCTAATGAATTTTTAATTCGAATTGAGTTAAAATTCAGCAAATTGATATCACATCCTTTAAAGTGATGAGATGTAAACAAAAGCAGCTTTTATATTTTATCTCAACTTGCAAAAATATTTCTTTCCATTCCTGCAACTTCTGTACCTAGCGAAACATTGTTTTTAAACGAAGTAATTCAGCAAATTATCTCCGGAATTGGATTATCAAGTTTATTATTAATTTTTTATCTATCATTTTAAACATGCAATTAGCTTAATTTTTATTCTTTTAATAAAATCAAAGAAAATCCGATTTGTGAAAATAAAACCTGTTCCAACCTTTATCCAGAACTTTCAGTTCATCAGATAGTTTTGATTAGATTGAATACCTGAACGGGTATGATAAAGACCTTTTTTCGCCATCACAATGCTAATCTTTTATATTAAATTGTAACGTTCATATAAACATTAAAAGTGCTGTAAATTTATTTCGACAACAAAAAAGATCCATCTGGTAAAATCATGAACATAATGTGTAGAAGCCATTCAACTAGGAATCCCGACTTTGAGTCTTTGGAGCGAAGAGTTACGGGCATTTCTTTGTTTTGTTAAATAAATGCCGATTTCACCAAAGGCCTTAATTTGTTAAGCAATATTCCATTATTCTTCTTATCTAAAGGAAGTCTTTCTTCCCAACAAGAGGGAGATCTATTAAGAATTAATCAGCGCTATTGAAATGCAAGATTTTTTTTTTAAATTTTTTTTTTTTTTTA